GATAAGTTTAGTTTGTTTAATTTGTTTGTTGTTAAGTGTGAACCAACATCCAAGAAATTTAAATGGTTCATTTGATGAATGAAGGTTAAGAGGATAGTTATTATATATAATGGGGGTATAGTCAGTTGGGGTGTTGTTAGTTGTTAGTAAGGACTTGGAAGAGTTAATTTGAATATTAGCCATATTAAAGAAAGATTTAGCTGTTGATAAAATTTGTGATAACTCTTGTTATGAGAATGCAACCCATAGAGTGTCATCTATATAAGCAAGAACTGAACAGTGTGAGTTGGATTTGTTTTATGTTTTGTGTTTGAGATTAGTAGGCCAGGAGACTTGAGTAATATAGTCTTTAAAATTGTTATAAATATATGTGATAAGTAGGTCATAATAAATCCTCCACAAAAGTAGAATAATAGTTTCATCCTGATCAATTTCATTAAGTACTGGATATGATAGGATAAGACCAAGATTTGTAATGACTTGGTTATGTTGATTGGTGAGTAAGTTGGTAATAGCATTAATGATAGAGTTAGGTAAGGCAAGGCGTTGGAGAGACTTTTGAAGTAAGGTTAGATTAATGGAATCGTATGCTTTGTTCATATCCTGAGACATAAACCAAATTGGTTTTTGATTACATAATGCATCCTATATTAAAGTATTTTAAATATGCTATGAAATAATATTAAAATTCAAATAAACTTTATAAAAAGATAATTATTTAATAACTAATCTTAAGTGCAAGTATTAATTCAACTATAACAATATTAAATCAGTTATAAAATATATAGATATTAGAAGGCTTTAGAAGGATTATTTAAGAATAAATTAGTTTTAAAATTAAGATGATGATCTGATTATAATTTAATAAAATTAACATAAATTGCAGATTTAAAGAATTTAAAATAGAACACCTAAGCAAGAGTAATAGATATAACAATCAATGAAAAATCTTTAGATGAACTTCTTAAATAGGTAATATAGAAAAGTTATATATGTAATCAATTGTATACTCTTTATGTAATAGTTCTAAATAGAATTACATCACCAAAAACATTGATAAAAAAATCAAAAGAACTCAAAAAATTACCTTAAAAAAAAATCAATTATATTTATTTAATTGCAAATTAATATGTATCATGTTTAGGCCGTTCGGATTTGATTCTTTGGTTAACATCACTTTTAGAACTCCTGGGAGAGAGAGGGGGGGGATAAAATTAAACGAACATATAGAATGAACAAATATGGGACAATTTGATTGGTCGATGTAAATCGAGAGATTGGTGAGAGTTTTCCAGCGTTTTAATTGGTTGTTCATTTCTCGGGGAGAGCCTTCAGCTGAGGGGAGGGGGTGATGTTAACCGAAGAATCAACTTCGAACGGCCTTAATAAAATGACTATTATATTATAATAAAAAATTAGTTCTAATTTATTAAACCTTAATAATCGTTTTATAAATTTACATGTACTTCTATTAACTGATTTGAAGTGCGCAAATCACATAAACTTTTTGAAATCCTCCAATCGAGTTCGTGTTGCATGACACAAAAAAGTCACGTGACAGGTCACTTTTACCAGTATCGCTGTCAAAATTTTCTCTTTTATGTAACAGTGTTTAAATTCGTTTAAGTTAGGGTTAGCGTTTATAATAAAGCTAGATTTTAAAGGAATAATAGTAAAATCACTCGAGGAATTTTTTTTGTTAAAGCGCAAAAGGTTGTTTCTTATGCAAGTTTTTGAGAAATATGCGATTTTTGAAAAATGAACACTTTGTTTTGATCTTCCTGATCGTGTAATGGTACATTAAAACGAGACTCGCCATTGGATGATCATCACGTGAAAGTGAAAATTTGACGGTGATCCTTTTACCCGGGTTAGAATAGAATTTCCCTTAGCGAATTAGCATATAAAACAGACTACATCGGCAAAATTCTCACGTACAGTACAGTACGTACGCGGCACATCACTAAATACTATTTAATTTGATTCTGAAGTGTGTTTGTCTAGTATGTATTTAAGACAAATTTTAACGCCAATGCTAATATACAGACTTAAAATATTTGGTACTAATAAACAAGTTTAAAGTACTAATTTAAGATCAATTCCGGTTTTATATAAACGTTGTATATTTTATTATTTAACGTTAAAATTTGATTCAAAATCAAGATGAAAATTTGCTTAAATGCATTATATTTTAACGTCAAAATAAAATTATTATTTAAACCTCTTCATTAATAAGTATTTCTTCATCCTCCATTTGATTAAAATAAACCATTTGACTTTGCCTCCATTGTCTTTCCTCTTCATCCTCTTTTTCATCGTTATCATCGTTTTCGTCTTCTTCATTACAACAGCTTTCAATGAACAATGTCAACTCATTATTTTTTTTTTCAAGATCATGTCTTTCATCGACAAGTTTCTTTAAATCGCTTTCTTTAATTTCGATATAGTCTTTCTGAACCTCATTTTCTTTTCTTAATTTCTCAGTTTGAGTACGTTCTGATTCTAACTAAAAATTGAGTAAATAATTAAAATCTTGTTTCTTAAATTAAAGTTTCTTTAAGAAAATTTCTAATTGTACACGGATGTTATATGCAAATGTATTAATTAATTTATTTAACAAATCTGTGTAAGATAAAATTATAAACCATAAATTAAATCCGATTTAAAGTTAGAATAAGGTTGGCTTTAGGGTTATAAAGGTTATAGCTTATACTAAAATTTCATGATAAATATTTTTTATTAGAACCCAAAAGTTGTTTTGTTATTAAGATTTTAAGATATCTATTATACCCGTGTTTTATACATTAGTGTTCAAATAGAAATTGCCTTTCTTTAATATTCAATACCTACGTTATTACTCAAGATTAAATTATTGTCTACACTCTCATCATATTTGATGCGCAAGCTGCTTATTTGTTTTTCTAAAGCATCAATATGATCGTCTTTGTCATTAATAGTTTCATTTTGAGTGTTGATCTCGTTATTTAAAATTCTATTTTTCCACTTCAGCTCTTTGATTTTATCGTCTTTCATTTCGATCTTTTTTTTCAATTTCCTGATTATCTTTTTAAGTCTAGTAAATTAATAATATATTAATAATATGAATATAATTTTAAATAGAAATAAAAGAAAAAAAGTCAAAATATTACCTATCGATTTGCTGATTAAAAGATTTTTGTTCGTTTTTAAATTCTTTAATGGCTTTATCATAATCTAAAGTAAATACGTTGTTTACTAGTGCAATTTTTTGGTTGGTTTTGTTCTCTTGTTTGTCGATTAGAAAATGATGGTTTTCCGGGATTGTTTTCTTTACCCTACCAAGAAATTTAAGATGCTGATTTAGTAACATTAAAAAAAATTCTTTGGGACTACGATTTTTTCTGGTCATTTTGGCGAAGTGAGTTTTAACTGTTAAACTCTAGGATTTGGCTTAAATATATTTTATACGTAGTCTCGAAAATATGTATTTTATTATAAAGGCTACTAACATTAAATACTGTATTTAAAGCACGTAGTCCTGTTACCATATTTGACTAGAAAATCTTGCCGCAGAATTTTTGGAGATGGTGTAACCATCGTATGGGAGAGTTTCATCAATCATGCTGAGTTTAACTCCGATGGTTGACGTAAGAGAACTTGAAAAAAATATGGGAACTTGCCTTTTAGGCATTTATTAGAGAAAAAAAAATGAATTATTAACCAGAATCTGATATAGGTTTGAAACGAAATGAACTTTTGAATTTATAATGTGTAACGTTATTTTCGGCAGACTAAATAACGTACTATTGCTTTTAATTTTGTCTTTGCGTAATGATAGAGTAACTGGTTCTTGGCTAAAAATGCATTTACATTAGATTCTTCATGTATAACCTAGAAAATTATCTACTATTAAACTGAGTTACGATTCACAATTTTTATTGGGATGTTTCTAACATACATTACATAGACATGCATTCACTTTTAATCATTCTCGGATACAATATAACAACTCTATGCTAGCATACACAAAACTATACTAATAAATTATATTACTCAAACCAAGCTCTAATAGTGATAAGTATAATTAATGACATGTTATTTTGGGATCTTGATTGATTTTATTGGTTGATAGCCAATTAAATAAAAGTCTTTAGGATCATAAATTAAGACTCTATTCTAAACAATATAAAAATTGGTAACAATATTGTTTTATTACAAACAAACAATCAATACATAATGGTTATTAAATTTTTTAGATTATATATAATCTTGTTACAATTAGCAATGATCGACATAATCTTGCAAATTTCATATGTGCGATTGTATGATTCATCTCCGTATTTGGTTATTCTAGAAACAAATCTGATATTGACAATAATCAAAGATAATCAAATTGTCAAATTTGACAGGTTATGTCAATCACCAAATCGAAAGAGCATAAAGATCAAATTTTAGCGCAGGCTTTAATTTACTGAATATTCAATATTTAAATATATTTATAGAACTAAAATTTCGTGTGGAAAACTTTCATATAAAAGTTAATTATACCTTTTTATTCATGATTTAAAAGTATATATTTTGTTAATTTTGATATAATTTCTGTGGTTATCATAGTAAAATCTAGAGTTATTTACGATTTTCTGTTTTTTTTAAAAAAATTACATCTGATTTTGTGATTTTATTGATTAAGGTCAACAATGATCGACATAACCTGTATATTCCTTTATAAATAAAATCGACTGCGCATAATCACTTGATTGTAAAGTATCAAAAATTCAATACTAACAAATTTATTTTTATAGTTTTGACATTACTACATTTTTAATTTTATCGTAGACGCATAATAACATAATTAATAAATAACAAATAACACTGCTTATATTATTATCAATAATACACTAGATCATAGTTACTGTGAATTTTTTATTAATGAAAATGTTTGCGTTCTCAAAAAAAATATACTTTAAAGTATATAAGTAAATTACCTAGAAAATTAATTTTCTTGATCGTGAAAAACCATTTCTTATGCTCAGATAAAAAAAAAAAAGAAACTTCGAACTGAAAATTTTTTTATCAACTGATGTAATTTATTTATACATGTTAATCTAAGCATCACTCTCACACTAATCCAACGATTTTAATATAATAAGATCTTAAATGTCAGAACGCCTTGTAAGTATGTAAAATGGTGTATCATTATTTTTACTAAGTCAATAAAAACAAGTTTTATTCCAGTAAGATACGCTCGTCAATCATGCAAGAATCAGGAGGCATATAGAAACAAAGATTTTTATACACTGAATCAATAGAACAGATTTGATTCTTATATCATTAATCATGCAGGAGTCAGGAGTGCACAAATCTCATACACAGAAACTTTATGAATATACATAAATGTCATGCGATACAAATTACATATATTTTGCTGAATCAATAGAAAAAGTTTTACTAAGGTATCTTGTATCTAGAGATCAGGAGATGGGCAAAATGCGCATTTGCCAATCAGATTACCAAATATGTTTGACTTATGAATTCATCTGCATGGTGACTGCGTGATTGGCAAAATGCCTTTCATTGGTATAACATTATGTCCAACGAAAATCGGACCCTTCCGATCCAAATGCTTAGGTCGGAGTATTCTATATATATCCGATGTAAAAAAAAAAGTGCCATATAACCCAAAAAAACATATAAAATGCTTATTTCGAGCATCTCTAATTGGAAAATTTCGGGTCGGGTCGGTTCGGGTTAATGTTCAACCCGAACCCGACCCGAAATTTTCGGATCAGATTTTTCTAACGCGAACCCGACCCACCCCGAAATTTTGGGTCAGGTTTCGGGTTAACCCGACCCGATTCGGAGCACTATATATAATACATAGATCAATGTATACATATGTACGTACTTTAAAGAAATGAACTAAGTCAAAATAATTGTCAGGTAAAAAACTCTATACTAACGTATACAAAACTATACTAATAAAATTATATTATCCGGCACCTTACTATGATCGTACCAACAGAATAACTCGAGTTATTTTGATGATGATCGCATCATTATCAAATAACTCCGTTATTTGATAATGACCAAAAGAACTCGAGTCATTCTGTTGGTACGATCATATTAAGACACCGGATAATACCGTTATTGAATGCTACTCAGCCAGATAAGACATCAGAGACCGTTAATGTTACACATATATTAAAACTGGTGAGGGATTATATCCATCACAATTGAATCCAACATAAATAATTTAATTTGTGATTGATCACAGGCGAGAGGGATTCACTTTGGATCGGGCACTGTCTCTGCTGTAGCCAGATAATGAAATTATTTTCCAAATAATTTCTGTTATTGCTGCTTCACATCCAATAACTATACATTACTCAGAGGCTAGATATAAAATTCTCAAATTTAGATTACATAAAGTTTTGAAACGTTTTGAACATTTTTACTTAGTATACGTAATTGTTATAATTGTTATCGCTATTATTTATTATTATTATTTTTTGTGCCTGCATATCAATACTGAAATTAAATAAGCACATAGGTCTGATTAAAACTGTCGCAAATCAGCTAATAACTGAACAGTTCTAACCAGTTATTGGACTGGTCATTTGTATGACCGGTTATAGGACCACCTAAATGACTGCGGTCGATCGGTTATGTCAAATAACAGACCGACAACCATCCACGACCACTCCTACATGTGAGCGTGATGCTTAGATTAACATGTAGATTAACGTGTATAAATATCTATTATATTAATCTTTATTTTATTAAAATCGGTGAGATTAAACATGTATAAATAAATTATTAAAAATATAGTAAATGTCAAAAGTATAAAAATATTTTTGTTAGTATTAAATTCTTTGATATTTTACAATTGAGAGATAATCAAGTGATTATGCGCAGTAGATTTTATTTATGAGTGAATATACTATCGCTATATCATATTTGAATGACATCAAAAGAAAACCTGTTATCAGCTTTCAATGCCCAGTTTGTTTACTGAATCATCAGATTCTTTAATTATATTTTGTCTCTTAATGGGGTTACAATACAGGTCATGTTGACCTTAATCAATAAAATCACAAGATCAGATTAGAAAATCATAATCTTTGATTATTGCACCAAATACGGAGATGAGTCATAGTCTTAATTTATGATCTTAAAGACTTTTATTTAATTGCTATCAACCAATAAAATCAATCAAAGATTCCAAAATAACACCTGTATCCTTAAAAGAAACTTCGCATGATGGCAACAATCAAGTGATTGTATATGTGAGTTATACCATGCTGACATGCTATTAGGCCTGAAGGCAATGTCATTAATTATACTTATCACTATTAGGGTTTGGTTTGAATAATACGTATAATTTATTAGTATAGTTTTGTGTATGCTAGTATAGTGTTGTTATTATTTTTACCTAATAATTATTTTGACGTACAGTATAGATTGATCTATATATTATATATATTGTATTCTTGATTGTCCAATAAAAATTGAAAATTGTAGGTTCCAGTAATCAGTGTAACTCAGTTTAATAGTAGAATTATACATTTCTAGCACAAAATCCAGTTACTCTAGCATAAGATCCAGTTACTATAGCATTGCGCAAAGACAAATTTAAAAGCAATAGTACGTTATTTAGTCTGCCGAAAATAACTTTACTCATTATTAAATTCAAGCTTCAAACTTACATCAAATTCTGATTAATAATTCATTTTTTTTCTCTAATAAATGCCTAAAAGGCAAGTTCCCATATTTTTTTCAAGTTCTCGCATCTTCTCTTACGTCAATCATCGGAGTTAAACCCAGCATGAATGGTTTCTAGTCAAATATGGTAACAGGATTACGTGAATTAGATACAAGATTTAATGTTTAATATACAATATGAGTGCAGCCAAGAAAACCTGTCATCGGATATTCAATTATATTTTGTTCATATAATAAACTAAAATATTTCAAGACTACATATAAAATATGTTTAAGCCAAATCTGGTACTAATATAAAACCTGACATTATACTCTAATTAAAGTTAATGATTATCAATCTTTTAATTTTAAAGTATACATATAAATAATTTCGTATTTAAAGTCTATTGATCATATTTTAAGATATCATAAACAACTTTTCACCAGTTTAAAATTTTCGGCTTTCAAATTTCTTCTAAAAAACGGGGAAGTATTTTTGCATTTTTTTTAGTTATACAAAATAATACGTACAGATACTCACTATTACAAATATGTTAAAGAAAAACCAAGATGGATTTAAGAATCTGTATTCACGACCAGTTGGCTGTTTACAGGATAATGAAACTAATTAAATCCATCTTTATGATTATGTTACGACCGTTGGCTAACATAATCATCTAACATCTCTAGTATCTCGTTATAAAATTTGCATGATGATTATTTAAATAAGATCTGACAAAGAATAAATTCACTTTGCTAAAATGATCAAAAAAAATTGTAGTCTCAAAGAATTTTGTTAATGATTCTAAATCAACATCTTAAATTTCTTGGTAGGGTAAAGAAAAAAATCCCGAAAAACCAGCCACTAAAGAATTTAAAAACGAACAAAAATCTTTTTAATCAACAAATCGTTAGGTAATATTTTGACTTGTTTTCTTTTATTTCTATTTAAAATTATATTCATATTAGGGTATCGTATATTGTGATTTTAAATTATTTTTTTTTATTTTTTATTTTCTAATACATCTTGTGTAAATTTTAATGAATTATAGTCAATGAATGAAATGAAGGATCAAGTTAATGCCAGAATAAGGTTAGCAATAACGAAAGTTACTACATTGATGTCAAGCGCCAATTTTCTAGGTTCACAACTACAACTTGCACAGCAAAAGGGTGATGAAATTCCGGTGGTGGATAAAACAGCTCCTCTGATCGAGGAATCAAAGCTTCCATAATAAATCCAAGTGAATTATAAGAACCATTTTCTTCTAATGATAACGTTCATGGATCCAGAAACACTGTTCATAAAAAAAATTTCAGTGGAATAGAAGTTACATGTAAAAAAGTTCAAATTCTAAAGCTGGCGAGTCCGGGCAGATAAAGAGTTCCGATCAAATAGTTGAGCGAGCAAATTATAAATTACAACAACTTGAATTGGCTGCACTTCTTAAATTAGGTGTTTACCGTTTATTGTTACGTAACTTTTATGAAATTTCATATGTGGATAATAGTCAAGTTATGATTTATGATTGGCTGCATATAGTAATCTTTGCGAAATGTACTTAAATTTTAATATTGGCTGGCCTACAAAATTACAGTTCGCATCAATGTTGTCTTTATCATCACGACGTTCGTTGCAAGAATATCTTGGTATGTATATAACTCAAAATAGGAATTACTAATCAATTAGTCGACTAATTAATTTGTTCGTCAGCTTGATTTTTATCCAATTAGACTAATAAGTGTTAGCTTATGGATTCTATAAACTTATTATATTCTTTTTTTTATAAATAATAGGTCACCGATAGATTTGAGCCTAAAATTTCAAATTTCGAATTCCGTTCTATAACAGATGTATCTTCAAAAATTATAGCATTGGCAGACATTATTCGATGGTTAGAAACCGAAAAGATGTGAAAGCCTCCAAAAGCTCTGCAACAAAGATATAATCATCAATATGAAATGTACAGGTAATGAAATATAGCATTACAACATTTTTATAAATTTAATTAACGCATGGTTTCTTGATCATAGTTTTGGAATGATGTTACGGGAGCTTTGTCATCGAAGGTCTCCTTATAAAAATTTAGATGTGGGTGCTATTCAAGAGCATCTTATAAATAAAAGCGAGAAGTTCTCGAAAACACATTGAACCATCACCAATTCAAAGATATCTTTATAACTCATTACAATGAGTAAATATAATTTATCCTTATATTTTCATTTGTTTAAGTTTCCAGTTTAGTTACTAATTTAAAATCCACCTAAAAATTAATTTTTACTTACCAAGCTTGGGAAGATGAACCTTCAGTACGTCCTTCGGACATAGAAATGCAACAAAAACTTAAAGCTCTTTTTAATGAGCATGTATTTTCTAAAGGAATTTCACCTCAAATACATCCTAAAAAAATCGATCCTGGTGATATCCCAAATTTAGAACTTCCAAGAACTTTCCAAGAAAAAGTTTGCATCACCAATTCTCAACAATCTAATGACAATTTGAAACATCTGACGAATTTGGTGGTTTTGATTTAGATAACTGCACAATACCTATGATAAACCCCTTGATGCCTTTTGAAGAGGGTATTAAAGCACACAAAGAAACAAAAAGGGCTATTTTGCTTGTGAGTATTTTGCAGGTCATGCTAAACATGAGAATAACGTGGCAAAATATTGGCAAGAATATTTTACCAGGAACGAACTGTATGGTTATACGAAAAGTGAAATGTATGGTATCCTGATTTATTTCTTGTTTATCTGGCACGTGTTCTATATGCAGGCTTCTGGTGATCCCTCTTATAACAATTGCGTCAAACAGATCAAACACGGAACCAGAAACTGGTATAAGTCTGGAGTTCGCACCAGCCCTTGTTATGTATCAGGGGCGTTACAGACGGAAAATACCAAAATTACGTTTCTGATATTTTTACTATAAATGTATCAAAATCGTAATTTTGTTCATCAAAAGGCGTAGAAGTATGAGTCTGTCGCTTCGCTCCAGACAATAACTAAGCCGCATTTGTATTACTTATACTTAAAACTATTTTGCACCATTGTTAATAAAGAAACCGTCAGACATTTTTTAAGTATTCATTGATAATACGATAATTTGTTATGAAATTATCGATTGCTTTTCGTGTTATATATGCAGGCTTGTGGTGATTTTATTTGGTTAACCATTTTATAAAAATTATGTCAAACACGTTTATTGTATAAAATTTAACTAGCCGCATTTTTATTACTTATGCGTAATAAGTTTCTTATTATTTTAATAAAACTATCTTGCGCCATAATAATAAAGAAACCGTTGGACGATTTTTTAAGTAATCATTGATAATACAATAATTTGTTATTAAATTATCTGTTGCTTTTAATCCAGTTTATTGGCGATGAAGATTTGTTATGTTTGTGTACGGTTTCTGCAATAAAATAATCATTCCACCTACTTTATCTCATACAGGTTGATCTTTTGTTATTGAGAGCTATATTAAAGGTCAATCAAAATGTTGTTTAGTTAACATTACTTTTTTGATGCAGTTGGTTACTATTTATATCGTTAATATAGCTATAGCACGTACTGAATCTGTGACATAATGCTTACTCGCTTCAATAATGATTCGTCAGCAAATTCAGGTTTTGTCGATTATAGTCGACAAAATTAACTTTCTATCGTAAAATGTCAGTTACGAAATTGCTTTTCGTGCTCTATTAAGAAAATTCCTCTTACAATTTTGACATGTACTTTTAATTCTAAATTTTTTTTTAACCCTAATTTAATATTAACTTTAAAATTAACTTACAAACTGGTGTCGATCAATCTAGTGACAAAGTCTTGCATAGATTTCATTTGCAATTCATCACATCTTCATACCAAATGAAAAGGAGACCTAATTCTTTACAAGTAACCCTTTTTTAATATTTCTGATTAGGGTTAGAGATGGAACACTGTGCAGGCTGTGCAGTATTTCACAGCACATATTGCATGATATTTCATTGTACATGCATAGTGCAATTCTATAAATCAGGTCAAAAGGCATAATTATAATCAACTTTATAATCTAGGCTTGAATTAGTCAATCAGAAATCATTTCAGATTCATTAAGTTAAGGGTAGAGTACATGTAGATCATTTGATATATGATTTGCATAATAAATTTAGATTTACATAGTAAGCAAAAATATAGTATTAATAAAATTTTTTAAAAATATATCAAAATTTTATTAAATTTTAGGATATTTAAATTAAAATAGTTTATTTATTATAATAAAAAATTATAATATATATTATTTTGAAAAAAACTATACTTATATATATTATAAAAGTCTCAGTAGTAAATTCAAATTCTTAGTGATAATGTTCTGATAGGTTGATTATCATATAATTATTATATGATTTTTATAATAGATTTATAATATCAAATCTTTAAATAAATCTATCTTAATAAATTTTAATTTAACTTTAATAATTTACTATTATTAAAATTATAAAAGTCTGCTTGGCAACTTTGTTTAAAAGTTTAAAAAAACAATTAAGTTAGTAAAAATATTTTTAAATAGCAAAATAAAAAATTTTTAATTAAAGTTCTATGTATAACAAATAAGCTACATGTATTTTATTTTTATAATAACCAATAAAGTTTTGACTATTATATAACAAATATTTTTTACTAATTTAAGCTTGCTATAATAAATAATACATTTATTGAGTTATTTAAAATAAATAAAATAATTAATTTATTACTTATTATTTAAATTTTTTTGGTTGTATTTTATTGTTAAGCTATATAAATTTTTAGTGCTTAATATATTTGTTATATTATATTTAAAACTTTTTAAGTAGCTAGATCAGTTTTAAATAAAAACAAAATATAACAGATCTGTATTACCTGTTTAATATTAATCGTAATTCTGGTTAAACATGCAAATTATTTAATTATATTTAAGATTGTTTTAATTAAATGATCTGCAAATTTGACTAGAATGATTGAAAAAAATGAAATTGACATCTAAACTAACCTTGTAACACTAATTAAAAATAAAAGAAGCTAAACTTTATATATATAAAGTAGATGTTATATATATATAAATGTGAAACCTAATGAACAAAGTCTTTAGAAATTGAGGTTGTACAGTAGATTCATTTCTAGTTAGACTAAGTATAAGCAGTATTTTTTTTATATGTAGTTATAAAAATTAGTCTTGTTTCCAAATAATTTTTTATTTTAAAAACTATACATATTATCATAATTTCTAGTACCAACTTACTATATATCTATAATAAATTTTTTTATTTTGCTTATGCTAAAGCTGTAGTTATTAGTAGTTATTGCTTTTATTATATTTTTAATTATAATTATATAACTTGTACAAAGTAAATATACAACTAACCATACATACAACTTTTGGTTGTCTATTTTAAGTAGTCTATTCATGCAGCAGGTTCTACATTAGCTATCATGCCTGCAATCTACTAGAAGATTACCTATTTAAACTCTCTAATCTCTATATTTATACTGACAAATAGTGCACAAGTTTCTATATATCAAAGTGCCATCTAACCTAATAGTGATCTTTCTTTTAATATATCTGTTAGCCTGTTATATATTTTAGAGTACATTATCTAATGTAAGGCTCCAAAGAGCTTCTTTACTAACTAACTACTCATATTTAATCTTTTTGTTAACAGAATTTATCTTTGTAAAGTTCATCTAAACCCCAGCTCTGACTTTACAGCATATCTCTAGTACTTATAGTATATTCTCACTTTTGACCTTAGACTTTTAATCCAAATAGCCTAGTAAGACTATAACCTGTTTCTGATATTTCAGGATCTGCTCCTTAGTTTTTTTTCTCTGGTTCAAAACTTTCAGTAGTCTAATTAGTAGTACTCCTCACCTGAGGTTCTTGTCTGCTAGATTTTTTTTATATTAGTATTTATTTTCTAGGTCTAGTATTTACAATAGTACTGTTAAAGATCTGTGTTATCTCTTTATTCAGATCTTTTCAAATAGGCTCCAGCTTCCTAGTTTATAGATTTATATAGCTATAAGGATTATCTTAAGTTTGCATTGCCCAATGCTGATTTGCATTCTTCTGTATAACTCCAATATTGTGCAGATGCCCCATAATCTGCCAGTCATACTAGTATAACCATGCTACAGATATCTTATTTTAACTGATTAACTGAATGCTGTTGATGTAATACTGTCTATATATTATATAGATATTATCCAAATTTTTGCTATTAGTGAGTTTTGGACTTACTATCTACTACTTGGAAAGTTGACAATTTATCTATTTCACTAAGTCATCATACCTCTATATACCTGTAATAATTATCTGTTATTTTATAATATTTGAGATTCTAAACTAATTAAGCTAAATATAAATAATTAGATAAAAATATAAAAATATAATACAAAAAGATAATAATAAAAAATAAAGAAATAGCATAATTATAATCTATTATATGCATGTCTAACAAGTTAGACAAGATTAATTTAATTTATTAATTTATATTTCTTTCTTAAAAGGAAAAAAATAATTGCTTATATAAAAAATTTTATCAAATTTATTTAATTTTACTTATTTTTTATTTTTTTTTAGAATTTTTTAGAAAGTTATATACTGTATATTCTAAATGTTTTTTATTAGAAAAAATGGCAAAACAGAATAATTTAAATTACTAAATCAAATTAGTTTGATCTTAACCAATAATATGATTTTATATTTGTTAAATTTTAATAATTAAATTGTGAATTACAATATAATCTTCTGTTCTTGGTTTTGCATAATAGCTTTATATAGTTATCTTATTTATTAAATAGTTGAGATGTAAAAAAGAATTATAAAACTGTACTTAAGCTTTTTAAAAAAGCAACTAATAATGATATATCTGATATATTACTTCAATATTGTTGTTTGAAAATCAGCAAGCCTGTTACTAAACTAATTTAACTTTTATGTAACCTATAGTGGCTAAGTCAAAATAGACATATTGAATTTGGCTAATGGTTTATCTATAGATAAGTATTTGTCTTTGCTTTTTTTTAATTTATTCTTTTACTAACTTATTATTTTCTCTTGTTTATTTCAATTAGAATTACTCTATATTGAATTTGAGTTGAGACTTTTTTATTACATTATCAGTTTTGTTATATAATTTGTAATGAGCTATTAATAGTAGGTTTAATAATGTATAGCTAAACAATTGTGTCAGTAGTAGAGTTAATGATTTAACTAGTTTATTTTAAAACTGATACTTTATTATAATTTAAATAATTATTGATACTGAAAGTTTTATTTGTATAAGAGATGATTTTTTTTTCTATTAAGCTGTAATGTCTTTTATTTATAATAAACATCTTATGTATATTTATATTAATTTATATCATAAATGCAAGATATTTCTTATACTTAATATCTTAACTAAGTGTAATAAAAGGTCAATATGTTATTTAATGCATATATGGTTAAAGTAGTAGAAGTTATATAAGTATTATAAATAATATTTTGTTACTTTTGCATAACCTTAAA